TTGCAAAATTTAGCATTTGAATAGGGGGAAAGTGTATAAATAAAATATAAAACAACTCTTAGATAATTGAAATTATAAAAATAGCTATATTTCATTTATTATATTTCATTATTTATTTTGAAATTATTGTTATTGTTGATATTATTGTTGAAATTTCAATCATTGAATCATTCAATAATCAATTATGAATTATTTTATATTTTATTTTATTTTATATTATTTTTATATTATATTTTATATTATTTTACTTTATTTCATATTCCACTGATCTAAAGAATCTGCAATGTCTAAGCCTATGAAAGGATTTTTTTTATTTAAGTATTTATATACATAAAATACTTGAATACTCAAAATCCATGAAAAAGTGAATAAATATCCTTTCAATTGTTGATTTTTTTGGGCGCTATTATGTATCTATAGAAATAGTAGATAAGTTGTTACATCATATACGTTACGATACATATAAATAAACTTTTATGCATTAAATCTTTTTTTTTTTTTAGTAAATATCTTGAAAATTATATAATAACCGAGCATCATTTATATATTTAAAAAAAATTTATTCAAAATATTAATTTCTATAATATATTCTATAATATCTTAAATCATCAAAATCGAAGTTAACGACCGTTGTCCAAATAATTATTATAATTCGAAAACTAAAACTTATCACTAAATATATATAAGAAAAAAAATATTGCTCAAAATAATGCTTTTAAATACATATTTCAAGCTCATTAGATCAGGAAATTAATCTTAATTTTTTTCTTTTATAAATAATATTATATTTCAAAATATTTTTTAATTTAAATGATATTAAATTCGATTAATAAGTTTTTAATATAAAAATTAATAATTATAAAAATAACAAAAATTATTAATAGCATTCATTTCAACATTTCAATAGCAATTAAATATGCATATTTTATGTTAAATAATTATTTATTATTATTTTGCTTGTATATTTTGTAAAATATATTTTGTAAAATATATTAATATTTTTAGATTGGATTAATTTTATATCTACAATCAATTATTAAAAACGAAAAAGAGATAGAAGTTATTTTCAATGGATTCCATATAAATAAATATAAATAAAAAATAAACATATAAATAAAAGAAATAATATTATTTAAAAAAACTGAATTAAGATTTTAATTATATTATATTTAAATTATAATCAATTATTAATTTAATTCTGTATTTTTAGATTGAATTAATATTATATCATCTATTTTTAAAATTAAGAATAAAAATAAAAATTTGTTTAAAAATTATATTTTTTTAATCTTAAAGTTATGACAAAATTTAATTTTAATAATGAAGAATACATTTTATTTTATTTTATTTT